CAAAATGCCGAATATAATGTGCTAAATGTTGCGAAATGCACATTTCTGTGTTAAGTTGTAGCATGCAGGTCACTTTGAGATTGCTCCGAAATCGTTCATTGGATTCATAGCGTTCGCAAAAATATTCGATCTAGAAAACATAGTTTCATCACAATATAAAAAAATAATTATACAGAAAAAGTTCGATTAAATGGAAATTCAATCTTATTGTTTCTGTTTGAATTGAGAATGATTACGTGAAAGTTGCATATTAACTTAGACAGAGTAAATGAACAGAGGTAATTATTAGTTATCATTCGAAGGTAGATGCGATAAATAATGCCCTTCTCGATTATCCAACGGAAAATTAACAACAAAACGAAATTTATTTACTTGAATTTAAATATGGAACTAGTGCTAGAAAATAGTGCTAGCATTATACTTCTTCCACGAGATCGATTATTTTGTGGACAAAGCGATACGGTCTAAGCATTTCGCTTTGGAATAAGAACCAATTCCTCGTGAAAGAAAAATCATTTCTCTCTATATTCAAGTAAATGCACAGTATCATATAATAGATTATATGTATATATATAGTTTTTTATTCTTTCTTTCCATGTCTCCTTGGTATGTGTGACTTTATGTGGGGTGAAGCATTTCTCCATAAAGTGGAACAACTTTCCCCATGAACTGGTCCAATGGTCCACTGCTGCAGCGAACGCGACTGGATTGGCCTCAATACCGTATACGTGCCGCGCGAATTTGGCAATGAAGAGAATAGTAGGTCCTACTCAGGTGCCCACGTCAATTACAACAGTATTAGAGTTGATAAATTGCATAAACGTCATAAATGTATTCTGCTTCCACTGACTACGTTCACGGAGGTTCCAGAATTCACTCATCTGATCAATATCTACCACGCGTGCAGTAAGTCCACCAACAGGATCTGTTATTACACGAAAGGTTTTGTTAACATTTAAGGTTTTGAATCGTTGCTGATAACGAAAAGATGCACGTTCGTCCCAGCCAGAGTCAAGAGTGAATACATTGGAAGGCATTCTATTTTCTGATAACTTGTTCGGTAGCCAATTTTCAACAGGATGATTGCGTACGAGAATGTAGTACATGCAATATATTGTGCCAATAAAGATAAGCAAGAATAATACACGGATTTGTAGTGTAAAAGCCATAATCTCTCATACATATAAATAATTCCCAATTGAAACGCATATTAATCATGAACCAACCACAATTAGCGAGG